TGGTCTTGCTTAACCATTGGAGATGATCTTACTAATTTCTTTTTCCCGATCTCTCAAAGTTCCCCCTTGCTTTTACTTTCTTTTCTTCTTCTTTGTTTTTACTACTCTTCTCCGTTTTTCACCTTTCCCCTTTATATACTCGAGCCTTATACCCCTTAATGAGAATGATTCACTCTCCTTACACACAGTGACTCACCCCTTAATAATCATTGTCATGGATGATTCACTCCCTTACCTAATAGGCATAACAGGTGGCTCTTCCCTTGGTATGCCAACGAATAGTCCACCTTTTCTCATGTTTCCTTTGTGCCCCCACTTTTATCATAATTTTGTAGTAGTGTTATATTGGCCCCAAATTATATATTAATCACACTTTTGATAATCCAATGCCAAATTCAATTACATCCTTAGCATGTATAATTATGTAATTAGATATATTATCCATATATTTATTTATTTATATTATTATTATTATTAATGATCCCTAATTATAAATTAAATTACATTTTAACACCTACGCTTATAAAAATATTATTTTCCAAGTATCAATTTAACTATTTTATATTAATTTAGCTTAAAATATTCAAAAACAGGGATGTTACAATTTTTTTTTTCTTAAGAATGTTGTTAAAATATGTGTTTAAATTAATTAAACTATTTGAGTGTGTAAAAAATAAAATAAGTGGGCCCAACCACCACTAACGGGATACTATCTAGTGTGTTTGATTTCAATTTTCTGTATTTAATTTTTTAGAAATTGAGTTTTATTATTTTTTACATTTTTTTTGTTTTTAGTGAATAGTTTTAAAATTTTAAATAATTTTTTTACTTTTTCAAATACACTTTACTTAAATGTATCTAAAAAATAAAATATTTGTAAAAAATATATTTAAAAAAATCAATAAAGTGCATCTAAAAAAAATATTCTCATATTGAATTCTTGTATTGATTATCAATAAATACACGAGAATATCTAAAAAATTGATTTTCGTATTGATAAAAAAGATATTCTTGTATTGATTATAAAAAAAATATTTTCGTGTAAAAAATTATCTAAAAAAATCAATTCAGTACATTTGTAAAAATGTTCTCGTATTTTTTTGATATTTTGGTATTTAGTGAATTTTCTAAAGATTTTTTTCACAAATATTATATTTTTTAAGTGTATTAATATTAGGTGTATTTCAAATTTTAAAAAAATTGCTTAGAATATTAAAAAAATCAGTAAAAAAATCAAAATAATAAAAAAAAATATTTTTTTAAAAAGTGAATTTTGAAAATTCAAATCAAATAAGCTAATTAGTACATATTGGTGAAAAAAATTATGATATTAATTATTAAGAGTAATGTTATATGTACCAATTAGTATACTAACTAGTGTACCAATTGATGATGTGACATAGTTTAAGATATTTTTAGTATTTGTTATTTGTATAATGAGAGAAGCCAATAATAAGTTTAGTGTTGGTACATTGTACACTAAGGCCAAGTTTGGGAAGATAAGAAAAAGCGAAAAAGTCAAAAAGTTAAAAAGTTAACACTATTCACCAAAATTCAACAATTACGGCTGCACAACTCTCCATCTTAATTTTTCTTTACACACTAATTTATATAATTTTTTAATACACATTTTTCCATAAAAATTCATAAAAAGTCAAAAAGTTAACCCAAACATCCATATTTTTTTTCTCAATTTTTTAGTCCAAAGACCCCGTTTGTTTGGGGTTATGGGGAGGAGATTGGGTTTGATAGTGAGGAGGTGATTGAGAATGAAGTGTTTGTTTTAAGAGATAGAGAGGTGACTAGTAATCCCTTGGTATTAGTAAGGAGGAGGAAGGGGGATTGGTAAGGAGGAGGTAGAGATGGTATTAGAAAAATAGTGAGGGGATTAGAAATTTTTTTATTTTTTTTATTTTTTATTTATTGGGAATTTTTTTTAAATATAATATTTATTTTTTTTATATATTTTTATTTGTTTTATTATTTTATATAAAAATAATTTAACAATTCCTCACTATCAATCCCCTCACTAACAATCCCCTCACTATTAATCCCCTCACTATCAATCTCCTCCATTCTATCTCCCAAAACAAACAAATGCACTTATTTAGAATATCCCAAAAGTGTACTGTTTTGATTTCCCCCAAATATTTAGGTTGTATTCGGTTGATAAATTTTAGTAAGGATTTGAAAAGAAAAAGAAAAAGTTGTGTGAAATGTCGATAAAATGTAACTATATTTTATTCACATATAAAATTTATAACGATGTAATTATTATTATTAATAATATATAATAATATATTTCATATATAATTATATAATGAATTTAATAGTTTTAAATGGATTTAGATTCTTTAAAATTGGTCATTTTAATTTGAAAGATAAATTATAAATACATCTTTTGAGATTTATATAAAATATAAATTATTTCATGTGATTTAAAAAATTATAAATATTCTAATGTTATAATTTTTTATTTAACATTATTAAAATTATTAATTGAAATATATTTATGATATCATTAAAAATAATTAATTAATTTGATAATTTATTGATAAAATAGGAGATTTGTTATGAAATTATAAATCTCATGAGCTAGAATATAAGTTCTAAAATCGCAGGGAGCGATTTATATTTTAAACAAATTTCAATGGGTATATTTATAATTTACCTAATTTGAAATGATGTTTAGGCTTTGTGGACTCAATTTAGAGTCGAATTCAATTGTGCAAATATAATATTTATGAAAAAAAAAGGATGGCAAAAAATTGGTAGTTATATATTTGAATTATATTTGTTTAAAAAAATAGATAATTATTCTTATCATTATAATTGTTGTTAATTTTTTAAAAAATAAATGTAATTTAAATATATAACTATTAATATTTGATCATCTCAATTTTTTTCATCAATATATACTCAACGAATCACTAAAAGATGAACGCATTGTTTGGGAAGAAGGTTTGTAGGTTTTTTGGGCTATTTTAGTCATAAAAGACAAAATAGGCTATTTTAGCCATAACCAACAAAACATCACATCAAACCCATAATCATTATACTCTTCTCTCACAAAAAAAGTCAAAAAAGCCAAAAAGCTCTTCCCAAACCAAATTTTTTAGCCAAGGCTAAAATAGCCAAAAAGGCCTAAAAGTCAAAAAGTCAACCCACTTCCCAAACCAACCCTAAGATTGGCCAAAAAATTGGCTCATCAAATCCAAACACTCTCTTAAATTGGATGCTAATTTGAGAAATTCTAATTATTTTTAAAATTATATTCAATGGTTAAAGTTTATTTTAATGATATTGATTAATAATAAACCATATATTTATTGGTCCGGCCCAGCCTTAGCCGGAGTAGAATTATTTTTTTTAATGGTCTCATTTGATAATAGGTGGTCATGATAAATTTCAAGCCCACCTATTGGGCTATTAAAAAAAAATTATTTTGTAATTAAATTCAATCACACGTCATATATTTCTTAAATAAATATATTAATATCATTATAAATTAAAAGATTTCTTAATAAATTTAATCACATATCATCACAAATGTGAGTTTTAATAAAATCAACAAATATGAAGTATAGATAAAAAAAATCATAAATATAATTAATTTAATAACAAATCAGGTTGAAAGAATAAATACTAAACTCTTCCCGTCTCGTTAATATATTTGGTTAAAAATGATAGCCTGACCCGGTCTTATGGGTGAAAATAACCTTTTTCAAATCCTTAAACTCGTTTGGGAAGCCATGGTTTGGGCTTTTTTGGCTATTTTAGCCACAAAAAACAAAATAGGCTATTTTAGCCATAACAAACAAAACATCACATCCAACCCATAATCATTACATTCTTCTCTTATAAAAAAAACTCAAAAAAGCCAAAAAGTCAAAAAGCCCTTCCCAAACCAAGCTTTTAAGCCCAGGCTAAAATAGCCAAAAAAAATTAAAAAGCCAAAAAACTAACCCACTTTCCAAACGGAGGCTAAGTGGGTTGAGTAGGGCAACGGGCCAATATTTATTTTCCATGACATGAGAAAGAGAAGAGAGAACTCTTCATGTTTGCTAAAGAGATAGGGTTAAGCGGATAGGGCTGATCCTGATCCATGGCTATTGCCTTAAGTTCTCAAATTTTGTTCAAGAAAATTGTAAATTAATGTAAGTTTTTAAAAATATTTTCAAATTATTGGGAAACGTTATCAATTTTAATAATTAGAAATAGAATTTTTTTTTCATGAATTTGCAAATCTTTTATGAAGTTTAAATTGATTTGCATTTTTTAAATTTTTTTTATGGATCTCAAATAATTTTAATTTGTAGGGTATTAATAGATTTAAAAATAAATCCACAAAACCAATCAGTGTACCTTACAATTCAAATTACAGAATTTTAGAGCATTTCCAACTCTTCAGTGTTTTTTTCCCATCTAATTTGACTATAAATCTGAGTAAAAAAATTTAATTTGATATAAATTAAAAAAAAATAGTGAACTATTCTGGCTTATTTTAATTTTAATTTTTTTAGATTATTTTATACAAGACAGATTGAAAAAATAAAAAATTTAATATAATAAAAAAATAGAGACGTATTTAGTTCACTCTAAACAGTTATATAATAATAAAATTACAACAAAATTTCAAATTTAATAGTTCATTTATTAATTTGTTGTTTATGTTTTTGTTTTATTCAGGTTTTATTTTTTTGTTTTTTTGTGTGCTTTATTTAGGTGATTGTTTGTTTTAAACTTTTCTCCACTTTTTATTTTGTTTCTGTTTTTGTTTTATTTTATTATTTATTACTTTTTTTATTTTTTAGGTGTGTTTTAAACTTATCCATTTTTTTTTTATTTAAAGCTTTCTAAGAAAAAAAGATTTAAATTTCTTTTATATAAATAAAAAATACTAAAAATAAAATGCCTAAAATATCTCTTAAAAAATGCAGTTGCGAGGATTAAGGAAAAATAAAAGGAAAAAAATAAAATAAAATAATAGAGAGTCATTACTATAACTATACCTCAAACGCATCACTCTCTCTCTCTCTCTCTAAAATCTTCTATTCTCTCTCTCTATAGATGGAGTAACATTAGGGTTTTTCTATCGTCTCATCCTTCTCTCTCTTACTGTCTCTCAGTCTCGCAGGTACTGCTTCGTTTCTTGAGACGTCACTTGCTGTGAATCTTCAATCTTCCAAAGTGTGTTTTTTGCTTGTTTAATAGTCTGTTTTTGGTGTTTTTCTCTGAAATCTCTGCAATGTTGTTGTGTTTTTGTTTTTTAGAAACATTTTCTTGTTGACTTTAGGGTTTGTGCTCGATCTCTGCGTTTATTTAAATTTTCTGTTTTTTTTTTTTTTTCAGTGCTTTGAGGAAATCTTTCACATTCAGGTAAATTCTCTCTCTCCGTCTCTCTTTTAACGTGAGTGTTTTCTTGACTTGCATGATCCTTTTCTTGACTTGTGTTTATTTGTATTTTTTTTTATTTTTTGTTCTTCTGGTATTTCTTATGCTGTTTTAGTGGAAGTTCCTCTGTTTTGTTTTGTCTAAAAGTAGTTCTTTTGCTAGATTATTTGTTTTTTGCTTTAATTTTGTGGTCGTTTTTTGTGTTTTTCTCTGTTTTTTTCTTGCAGTTTGTGTTCTTCATTTTCTTGTGTGGTTGTATTTTGTCTCTAATTTCTGGCTCCTGCTAGTTTGGTTCTGGATATATACATATTGGGGGTATTTTTTTTGTTTCTTTTCTGGTCTTTTCGATTTTGCTTTTGATAACATTTTTGCCAAGTTTTTAATTTTCAGTTTAAAAAAAAAATAATTAGAAACTATTTTGACAAATATATAAACAACTGAAAAGATATTTTTGAATTTTAAAAAATTGTTTCCGCCCCAAAATGATCAAATAATATGAAAATAATGTGTATCTTTTATTTTTTATTTTACCAAACTTGTTTTTTAATTTGTTTAGAAAATAGATTATGAAAAACCAATCAAAACCCTTTTTTTTAATCTGGCCAATTTTTTTTGTCTAATATATGGTGGGTTTCTGGTCCTTCAGCTTTATTAGCATGCACTTAAAGGTCTTGCTGTCTATGTTTTTTTTTGGGTTTCAAGGCTTGTGGTCGTTAATGCTGGGATATGTCTTGCTATCTGTTAAGTATGCTTATTTTTTTAGCACGAGTCTCAGGTTTTGAGACCCTTATTTGAAGTTGGGTCTTCCTCTTGAGGAGTTGAACTGAGTTAAATGTCCAGAAAGTTTTGTCCCTGCCTAGATCAGAGTGCTATCTACGCCTTTACATTTTTAACAACCAATACTACCTTTTAATGTGATGAGGTTGATTTTTTTCTTCTTCACACATATATATATCTTTTCGCAGGCTTGTATTTGGTGATTTTAGCATCCATTAAGGGTAAAATGCCTCCTAGTCATATCAAATGACTTGTGCTTTACTTATTTTTTAGCTTTGACATTTTAGTGTTATCATTTGACTACTTTTCCCCCTTTACTTCCTGAACTTCATACATCTATCGTTTTCCACAATTTTCACAGCTTCTGGTTGTGGCAATTGCTTTTGTATTGCTGTTCTATTTTGGCTTCAGGATGTATAGCTTTTCTGTTGGTTCAATGGCTTTGAGTTTTGTCTCCTTTTACTCGGGTTTAACACCTTTAAATAAATATAATTTCATAGCTGTATTTTTTTCAGACATTTCTGATAACTTGAGATGTATTTTAATTATTTTCAGTTTAGGATCTGATGGATTCGTTTGAACACGATGGAAATGGTGCGACAGAAGCTTTGCCGCCTCCCCCACCTGTTCCACCAAATATTGTTCCATTGCAAGCAGAACCAGATCATGCGCCTGAACCAGTTAAGAAAAAGGTCATGCGTGTTCCAATGACTAGACGTGGCCAGGGATCCAAGGGGCAAAAGGTTCCGCTCCTAACTAATCACTTCAAAGTGAATGTAACCAATGTTGATGGGCACTTCTTCCACTACAGTGTATGTTTCATATCTGTCTTTCTAATACTATGTCACAACTCTTTCTGGAATTTGATGGAATCTACGAAGTTGTAAAACTCATTCATACTCATTTTTTGTTTTTTTGCATTCTCTAAACAGGTTTCAGTCTCTTACGAAGATGGCCGGCCGGTAGATGGCAAGGGTGTTGGAAGAAAAGTGATTGATAGAGTTCATGAGACTTATGACACGGAGCTAGCAGGAAAGGACTTTGCTTATGATGGCGAGAAGAGCTTGTTTACAGTTGGTCCCCTTCCTCGGAACAAGCTTGAATTCACTGTTGTGCTTGAGGATATATCGTCAAACAGGTATAGAGTGCTTTGCTATTGCTTTGTTTGCACGTTTTTATTGATGTTTTGTTTGTATTGTATATAGTAACATGTTTTTTATTTTCATGTTCAGAAATAATGGTAATCGCAGCCCAGGAAGTCCTAATGAGAATGACCGAAAGAGACAACGACGACCATATCAATCTAAAACTTTTAAAGTGGAGATAAGCTTTGCTGCTAAAATTCCTATGCAGGCAATTGCAAATGCATTGCGTGGTCAGGAGTCGGAGAACTCTCAAGAAGGCTTAAGAGTTCTTGATATTATCCTGAGACAGCATGCAGCAAAACAGTGAGTGATAATTCATATACTTGGAAGTTAGAAGTGTGCAAGGCTTGATTTTTATCTACTTTCTAACCTAATGAGGGTGAATTGCAGGGGTTGCCTTCTTGTTCGTCAATCTTTCTTCCATAATGACCCGAGGAACTTTTCAGATGTGGGAGGTGGTGTCCTCGGCTGCAGAGGGTTCCATTCGAGTTTTAGAACTACCCAGGGTGGCTTGTCTCTGAACATAGGTAGGACACGGATACAGAGACAGACATTATATGCACTTTCTTTGTCTATGTTACTTTCTTATCCAATTGTGTTATGTTCATCACAATTCTGCACGCTTCACTTTCAGATGTGTCTACCACCATGATAATCCAGCCTGGGCCAGTGGTGGATTTTCTGATTGCAAACCAAAATGTGAAAGATCCTTTTTCAATTGACTGGGCAAAGGTAGTAATCTTCACCTTTCTGTTTTTACTTTAATTTTACTTCTTCGTAATCATATTCTTTCTCTTTCCTGAATTATGTTGAATCTTTTGTAACTTGTTTTGTTTAGGCCAAACGTATTCTTAAGAATTTGAGGGTAAAGACAAATCCCTCCAATACTGAGTACAAAATAACTGGATTGAGCGAGAAGCCTTGCAAAGAGCAGATGTAGGCTTCCCTATTATTAGTTCCCTTTCTCAAGCATGATTATTATTTCTTCCCTGCTAAGTTTATGAATTGCGAGATAATTGGGTTTATGTTAATGTTCCTGGCCATTTCCCCTTTTTCTTTTTCTTTTTCTTTTTCTTTTTGGTTGCATGTTGTAGGTTTTCATTGAAGCAGAAGGGAAAAGATGATGATGGCGAAGTTCAGACACTGGAAGTGACTGTTTATGATTATTTTGTTAATTATCGCCACATAGATTTACGATATTCTGGTGATCTTCCATGCATTAATGTTGGGAAGCCAAAGCGCCCTACTTACTTCCCTCTTGAGGTGAATGATGAGTTAGTTCTATTTAAATGAAAAGCCTGATGTGATCCAATTTTAATATATGGTATCTAATCACAGCTTTGTTTTTCTAGCTATGTTCTTTGGTATCCCTGCAACGCTATACGAAAGCTCTGTCAACTTTTCAAAGATCTTCTCTAGTGGAGAAATCAAGACAAAAGCCACAAGAAAGGATGAGAGTATTAAGTGATGTAGGTGTCGTCCTCAAACATGTGATTGATATTGCTCTTTGCATTTGGCTAAGTCTTTCATCGGTTTTGATAGGCTTTAAAACTCAACAAATATGAAGCTGAGCCTATGCTGAAGTCTTGTGGCATTTCAATTGGTACTAACTTCACCCAAGTTGAAGGTCGTGTGCTCCCAGCTCCAAGGGTATTTATCTAATTCCATTTGTGTATGGCTTGTGGTTTGTCTTTCTGTTTTGTTGATCTATTTGATCTTCTATTTTGTTACCTTAAGCGTTAACTGATTTTGGGCTAACTATACCTTTATCCTATTACAGTTGAAAGTGGGGAATGGCGAAGACTTCTTTCCTCGAAATGGCCGGTGGAATTTTAACAATAAGGTGATCTTTGGGTTCTGCATGGCTCTCTAATTTATTTATTTATTTTTCTTAGAACTTGGCACAGTTCAACTTTAATTCTGTGTTCTTACAAAATTTTTCTTTGCTGGTGTAGAAACTAGTGGACCCAACAAAGATCGATCGCTGGGCTGTCGTGAACTTTTCAGCTCGCTGCGATATCCGTGGCCTTGTTAGGGATTTGATCAAATGTGGAGACATGAAGGGAATTGTATGTCCTGTCATTTATTCTAGCTTAACTCAGGTTCACTACTATATGATTTAAAATACAAATCTTTTTTATTTTGTTTTTGTAGCAAATTGATGCTCCGTTCGATGTATTTGAAGAGAGTCCACAAAATAGGCGGGCCCCACCTCTTGTTAGAGTGGAAAAAATGTTTGAAGATATACAATCCAAGCTTCCTGGGGCTCCTCAATTCCTTCTCTGTCTGCTTCCAGAGAGGAAGAACTCTGATCTATATGGTTTGTTTGATTTGATTTATTCCTTTATCACACTGTTGTTTTTTTTTACCAGTGTTCAATGAATAAATCCATTTTAATTTGTAAGGTCCATGGAAACGAAAGAATCTCGCTGACTTCGGCATTGTCACTCAATGCATTGCACCTACAAGAGTTAATGACCAGTATCTTACTAATGTTCTCCTTAAGATCAATGCGAAGGTGAGGTACTTACTGTATGGAGGTGTGAGTTCCTCAATGAGACAAGCTTCCCCTCAATTTTCAGATTATAAGTTTGGACATTGTGATATCCTTTTTTGTCATCTTCTTTGTCATCTTCTTACCTGCAGCTTGGTGGATTGAATTCAATGTTATCTGTTGAACATTCTCCCTCTATTCCCTTGATATCGAAGGTTCCCACCATAATTCTCGGGATGGATGTCTCACATGGCTCTCCTGGGCAGTCTGATATACCATCTATTGCTGCGGTAACATGCTGCCTTTTACTCATCTCTGGCTTTCTGTATGCTTTTGCCATACTTGTTTTTTCCCTCTGATACTATCAGTATCTAACATGTACTTGGGAATCCATACAAAAATGTCACATTTTTTACTTTATTTTTCTATTATGTTTCCGTATTATTGAAATACATTTCGTCTTATTGTTTAAATTCATAGGTGGTGAGCTCCAGGCAGTGGCCACTGATTTCACGTTATAGGGCATCTGTCCGCACACAGTCCCCGAAGGTTGAGATGATAGATTCGCTATATAAGCGTGTTTCTGAAAGTGAAGATGAGGGTATAATGAGGTGGGGATTTTTGTGTTTAATGATGTGACGTTTTTTGCTTTTGTGTGAGAGACTGCATGCATGCCTTCACTGTTTATTATTTACAAATTCTGTTGATTGTTTGATTTATCAAAAATGTTTTAGAGCTTTAATATAGGAGCTCTAAGAGCTCTAATGGGAGGTGGGTCCCACTGTGATGTGATGTTTTGGCCTTGTTTGTTTTTTTTTTTTTTTTGGGATTTTCCATGTCATCAGAGCTCAATTAGAGCTCCCAAATTAGAGGGATGTATCATTGTTGTTGATTTATTAATGTTATGGATTTTAGAATGCTATTAGATTGTGCATGTGATTAGTTTCTAGTTATTGTCCTTTGACTGTGGGTAAGCTTTAGAGAGCCATGTGAGAATTATTCATTTAATTTCAGGGAGCTTTTATTGGAGTTCTATGTGACATCAGGGAAAAGGAAGCCTGATCAAATTATCATATTCAGGTACTTCTCTGTTTGGCCAATAGCAAGTATTTTCTCTGGATCATGTTATCATATTCATGACTGACTTTTTCACTTGCTCTGGCTCTGCATCTTTGTAAATAATATAAAGGAGATTCTCGGGCATGGGTTGGTTGATTCATAATTAATTGTTTCTACCCCTGTTGTTCATACTGCATATGCTTAATGGATGCTATGAACTTGTACCCTTTGATGTTGGCTTTGCTTTTTGTCATGTGTAATAGTTCTATTGGTTTATTGGAGCTCAATTTTACCATATACATCATTGCCATCAACTTATGTTTTGTAGTATTGCCCTGTTGCATTTATCAAGTGGAAAGAAAAAGAAACTTGTAACCCTTTGGCCTGATAGATTTAACAAGGCCTCTGCAACATAAACTTCTCTTACATGCATGTGTATTTTTATGCCTTTTCTTTTTCTCTTTAGATGTTCTACTTTCTTTTGCACTATGTAGTCTGCCAATTTTACCCTTTCTTTGTCAATGAATAACATTGTGAATTCTTCTAGGGATGGAGTCAGTGAATCACAATTCAACCAAGTTCTGAATATTGAACTCGATCAAATTATTGAGGTTTTTGGCTAATTTTCATCCTTTGATATGCTTAGAAGCAGTCATCTATTTCCGGTTTAGTGAAATTAAAAGCTGTAGTTGTAATTTTTATTTATCTATTGTGTGTGCAGGCCTGCAAGTTCCTTGATGAGAAATGGTCACCCAAGTTTGTGGTGATTGTTGCTCAGAAAAATCATCATACAAAATTTTTCCAGCCTGGATCTCCAGATAATGTTCCACCAGGTTAGTCCTCCAGTAACATCGCGGTGAAAGTTTAAAAATTGTATTGAATGAAAGCCCTTAACATTTCAATTTATGCAGGGACGATAATAGACAATAAAATATGTCATCCGAAGAACAATGACTTTTACTTGTGTGCACAAGCTGGAATGATTGTGAGTATTACCATACCATACACATATGACATTGGATTCAAACTCGGTTTTCTTTGATTGCATGTTTGTCTGTTTATATGTTTATTTTCCTAGAAGTGTTTTTTGGAGTTGTTTCCTTTTGATTGTTGATTCAGCAATCGATGAAACAGGCTGGCCTGAGCCTTTGCCTCTATTTTGCTAGTAATGCTGAACTTTTTAAGTACATTATTAAATTCTGTGTGGCTTGACCTGTGAAGTCCCCATTTAGGATTTTATTTTTGTGATAGCGCTTCCACCCCCCGTCCCCCACCCAACAAACCTATTTGCTGCTGGTGTAAAAAGAAAAGTGGGTGATAACCATGATTCTTAAGTTAGTACCAGTTTTTAATTTTGTAGTATAGAGATTAATTTTTGGGCAATTTGGTTTTGGCCCTCTTTCTTCCCTTTAAAGTTTGAATTGCTCCCACATATTTCATTTTTTTGCCCTAAATTTTTAGTTAGTGTTGCGCATCTACACCAAGTTAAAACCTGCTTCAGTTTTGGAACAGAAATTGTTGGCTCTATTGTCTGGTTCCTTACTCTTCATAAGGGTATTGTGTTTGCTTTGTAATTATAAACTATATAATGAGAGCAAAGTAACAAATGTTAAGTCTTTGCCTTCATTCCCCCCTCTCTTGCCTGCCCTTTTATCATTTTCTATCCCCTGTTGTTTAGCTCATCCCTCCATGTATATCATAATGGGAGTGGTAGTTTAGATTTACATACTTAACATGCAAACCTATTTACAGTAGAAATGCTTTTTGAAGTTCTGATTTTGTCCTTATATGTATCCTTGTGTAATCTTTGTATCTTGCTTTGACAATTGAGAGTATATTGAACTTTCTTTGTCTCATGTTTACTTTATAGGGGACCACAAGGCCAACACACTACCACGTTCTATTAGATGAGGTTGGTTTTTCAGCTGACGACCTCCAGGAGCTTGTACATTCCTTGTCCTATGTGTAAGTAGATTTTTGACCGGTGTCTAGAACATTATCACTTCAATTATATCTGTAGAACTATAGAAAATTATAAATTCCTTTTTAATCTGTGTTTTAAAATTTTTTTAGGTACCAGAGAAGCACAACTGCAATTTCCGTTGGTAATTATGATCTTCATATGAATGCATCATCTAATTCTAGCAAAAATATTATTATGTTGTTCAGTAGTTAGCCTTCTAAAATCTAACCTAAAGATATAGTTGCCTTCTCTCTCGTTATGGTTGTAGAGATCGGTAGCCATATGATCGGATCCTCTTAAAAATAATTATGATTTTGAGAATAGTCCATCCATTTTTTTAAATACAAATGTGATCTGACTGTATAGCTATCGATGTCCGGCCATCTACTTGTACAGCCTACATGTTGAATGGTTTGGATCACCGAAGTGGCCCCTAGATGGGCCAACTGAACCTCTCTAGTCCAATTAAGGACCGGAGAGAAGAGAAGCGTGTTCCGTTTTTTTAACCAAATGATGATGGTTATGTGTTTGATGTTTAGTCATAATGGTGGTTGGTTCACTCAAATGCAAAAATGTGGTTTCCTCCATTTTTTGTTCCAATTCTATTGATTTCAAATTTTGATTTTTTTATTGCGCCCCCCTTCTCTTACTATTTGTATGCAGTTGCTCCAATATGTTACGCTCACTTGGCGGCGACTCAAGTGGGACAATTCATGAAATTTGAGGACCAATCAGAGACGTCCTCGAGCCATGGTGGAATGACATCTGCTGGGGCTGTTCCTGTCCCCCAGCTGCCGAAATTAAAAGAGAATGTTTGCAATTCTATGTTCTTTTGTTAAGTAAGGTCCCTTTTATGTAAAACCTATGGTGTTGACCTTCCTCTATGGAGGGGCTCCGACTTCACGTAGGAACATCGAATCCTCTTTTGGTTTCTTGGACTTTAGTACTTTTAAAACTTTTCCTTCGACTGTGTGCTCTGGCTATATGCCTGTTTTGCAGAGACATGTTATAGATATTGCTAGAGTTACTAAGGTTGTTCAGATTGCATTTTGTGTTCTCTTTCTTGTGCCTGAAAGTGATGCATATCCGTTGCTAGAGTAGGTAGAGCCATCATGGATGGGTTGCGCCGAGTTAGTAAATGTGGACCGAAATACAGTTATATACTGCCCAAGGTGAGTAAGAAAGCGGTGGATAGGTGCTGGTATTGTGCCTGTGGAGGGCGTTAATGGAAGTTGGGTTGGGGGGTAGTGGAAGGGAGTGTGTTATGGGTTATTATGCCAAGAGGTTGGCATGTATTTTTCATCCAATTTTGATGGAATGTTGGATGTTGAAGCGCAGTATAAAAGCTAATAACGTCAGGGTTTGAAGTGGAATTCTCTTAGGTGATTTTATCATTGGGTAAATTACACTGACAACGCCCCTGAGGTTTTTTATTAGTACAGATGTCACTTCACTTTTGAAAAATTATGTTCTCCTTGAGGTTTGTAATCTTGTTAGCCTCTTAGATTGTTGATGTTATGTTTTAAAATTTTTTAAACGACTATCTTGTCTTTTTTCGGACCATTTTGTCTTCTTTTTATTATGATTATATTTTATAATTTTTGATCATGAAATTTTACCTGAATATATTCTAAAATGATGTTATATAAATATAAATTTTAAGGGTATTTTTTCATAATTTTTTTTTTAGCTATTTATGTTTTATTTAATCTACATTGTTTTTTTATATTTTAATAAGTCTTATGAGTGATATAGTTATCAAAATATCTTTCATAATATTTATATTTATAGTGTGAATGTTTACACTGTTAATGTGAATAGTAATATGTTAATGTGAATATTCATATTATAAAATATAAATGTTCACATTATTAAATTGCTACCCTTTAAAAAATATTTACAGGTAGAAATGTCAATAAAATAGCTTAAATATGAAAATTAGGATTTGATAGATGAAATGTTCAAATGATAGGATTTATTGGAATATAACAATATTTTATGGATTAATAATTTTTTTTTTTTTAAAAAAAATCTCCCTAAATTTTATATAAGATTTTCAAACATAATGATATAGTTTAATGGTGACTTTCTATTTTAAAACAAAACACTTATAAATATAATTTATATTTAGGATAAATTATAATTACACCTCTTGAGCTTTGTTTAAAATACGAATTATCCTCTGTGATTTGAAAAAATACAAATATTATATTGTCAGAATTTTTTATTTAACAGAATTAATTGAAGAAGTGAAATTCTAACTATTTATCTATATAATAATAAAATTATCCGTGTTATTAATTGAAATAAAAATTTTAACATTATTAAATACTATTAATTAACTTAATGATTTATTAATAAAAGGACCTCTTTGTTATGAAATTAGAAACTTCAGGGGGCATAATGTAATTTCTAGAACCACAATGAGTAATTTATAAGTTAAGTAAATATTAGTAATTTACCCAAAAATAATTTAATAATCCCTATACTAACAATATATTTCATATATAATTATGGAACTTTCTTGATTTAGAACGATGTAATTCTTATTAATATATAATAATATATTTCGTATACAATTATATAATGAACTTAATAGTTTTAAATGTGTTTAGATTATCTAAAATTGATCATTTTAATTTGATGGATAAATTACAAATACATCTCGTGAGATTTATATAAAATATAAATTATCTCATGTGATTTGAAAAATTATAAATACTCTAATGTCATAATTTTTTATTTAATATTATTAACTAAAAAAATTAAATTTATAACTACTCTCATATATAATTATAAAATAAAATAATCTAAATTATTAATTAAAATATATTTATAATATCATTAAAAATTATTAATTGATTTGATGATTTATTAATAAAATAGACGATTTGTTATGAAATTATAAATTTCAGGAAGTGACATGTATGTTCTAAAATTACAAGGGCGATTTATTTTTTAAGCAAATTTCAATAGGTGTATTTATAATTTACCTAATTTGAAATGATGCTTAGGCTTTGTGGACTCAATTTAGAGTCAAATTTAATTATTCAAATATAATATTTATGCAAAAAAAAAAGGTGATAAAAAATTGGTAGTTATATATTTGAATTATATTTGTTTAAAAAATAGATAATTATTCCTAACATTATAATTGTTGTTAATTTTTTCAAAAACAAATGTGATTTAAATATATAGTTATTGATGTCCGATCATCTCAATTTTTTTCATGAATATATACTCAATGAATCATTAAAAAATGAACGGTTTTTTATCACTAAGATTGGCCAAAAAATTGGCTCATCGAATCTAAACGCTCTCTTAAATTGGATGCTAATTTGAGAAGTTTTAATTATTTTTAAAATTATATTCAATGGTTAAAATTTATTTTAATGATATTGATTAATAATAAAACATATATTTATTGGTCCAGCCCCAGCCTCAATACGATTATTTTTTTAATGGTCTCATTTGATAATAGGTGGTCATGATAAATTTGATTGAGCTATGAAAAAATAAAATATTTTGTAATTAAATCCAATCACACGTTATATATTTCTTAAATAAATATATTAATATCATTATAAATTAAAAGATTTTTTAAATAAATTTAATCACATATCACTACAAATGTGAGTTTCAATAAAATTAACAAATATAAAGTAAAGATCAAAATTTTTTTGGGGGTAAATTATAAACACACCCCTTGAGGTTTACTTAAATTACATATTACCCTTGTAGTTCTAGAAATTACATTATGCCCCCTAAGATTTCTAATTTCATAGCAAATTATGCCCTTTTATTAATAAATTATCAAGTTACTTAATAGTATTTAATAATGTTAAAATTTTATTTCAATTAATAATTCATATAATTTTATTATTGTATAGGTGAACAGTTAGAAATTTCACGTTTTTAATTAATTATGTTAAATAAAAAATTCTGATAGGGAAGTATTTGTAATTTTTCAAACCTCGGGGGGCAATTCGTATTTTAAGCAAACCTCAAGAGGTGTATTTGTAATTTACCCTAAATATAAATTATATTTATAGGTGTTTTGTTTTAAAATAGAAAGTCACCATTAAACTAGATCATTATGTTTGAAAATCTTATATAAAATTTAGGGAGATTTATTAAAAAATCTTTTTCCAAGTGTTTATATCCCAATTAGTGCATAAAATCTTCTTATATTCCAATAAATCCTATTATTTGAACATTTGATCTATCAAATCCTAATTTTCATATTTAAGGTATTTTATTGACATTTCTACCGTCAAATATTTTTTAAACCATTAGCAATTTAATAATGTGAACATTCATATTTTGCAATATGAATATTAACATTGACATGTTAACATTCACATTGATAGTGTAAACATTCACATCACAGAGCATTCACACTGTAAATGTGAATATTATTAAAGATATTTTGATAACTATATCACTTATAAGATTTATTGGAATATAAAAAAATAATGTAAATTAAATAAAACATAAGTATGTAAAAAGGAATTTATGAAAAAATGTCCTTAAAATTTATGTTTGTATAACATCACTTTAAAATATATTTAGGTAAAATTTAATGATCAAAAATTATAAAATATAATCATAAGACCACTATCTTTAAAATTTGCCTACTCGTAAATCATGAGTGAAAATTTTAATTTTAACTATATTTGTTTATCGTTTTGATAATAAAAATAAATTAAATTTTTTAGATGAATGGTTGTGTTTATAGTCTAAAAATTTTAATTTTTTTTAGTTGTATCTTTGTGTTTATAGAATAATTATTTAGTACTGGTAATAATATTGATAAATTTATGAAAACGATAAATAATTAGAATAATTTATCAAAATGATAAATGATTAAGGTATTCTTAGCTCATCATAGTAATTTAGCTTTTTAATTTTTTTAATTTTTTTTTGGATGGGAGCTTTAGGAACTTGAACACTTAAAATTTTATAAATTCTCTCAAATAATTGTTGATTAACAACTCTTCTTTCATATTTCCACTAGACCGGATATAATATCTAACAAATTAAATATATATATATATATATATTATCAGTAAATTCTTAATTTTAATTTAAGTTTCGTTTGGTATAGCGATCCCGGTTTTTTCTTCTTTGTTTATTGTATTTCGGACTCGGCTCCGTGGATGTGTTATTGTCGTATTCGTATTTCCATCCTTTACTCTTTGTATTTGAGTCTTGGGTTGTGTTGGGTAGGTTTAAAACAGGTTGGTTGTGTTTAGAAACCAAATATTGATGCCCAGATTTTGGCTACGACGCTCGAGCGGGCACTTTGTTTTTGCTTCTCCGCTCGAGCGGGCATTTTGACGCTCGAGCGTGATTTTTCATCTCCCAGTATTTTTGGTCTGTAGGTCTTCGGACGCTCGAGCATCCACTTTCACGCTCGAGCGGGGACCATTGTCTGCAAAACTTCTGGAAGTATGCATTCGGCGCTCGAGCGGCGCTTTTGACGCTCAAGCGTAAGTCTGTGTCTGACGCTCGAGCGGGGAATCCCACGCTCGAGCGGACATGTTTTTATATCAGTTCAGGATTTCGCTTTTTGGATCACTTTTTGACCTCTTCTCTCTCTCTAACTTTTCAAAACCTCCATTGGAGAGCTTCTCTCTCTAAAACACAACTTCTCTCTAAGGTTTGATCTAGTTTGAGTGATCTTCCACCCTTGTCCCTTTGTAAAAAGTGTAGAGCTTGGCTTGGGCTACCTTTCCATCTGAAAATCTTGAGTTTTGGAGCACCTTCGAAATTCTTCATCTTCTCCATTTGGTCTCATCTCTTGAGGTAGGGATAACTACTCATCTTTATGAGTTTTAACATAGATTTTGGGCATTTTGTGTAAATGGTTTGTTTTGGGTGTTAGGGTTTGAGATTTGGAACATTGAGAAAGAGGAGTTTTGTTATTTTAACCCATACATGTGTATTTTGGGTCTTAAAATGAGATTAGTGATATTTACTGTTGATATTTGGACCATTAGGTCAATATTGAAAAAAAAAATGCCATATTTGGGTTTTATTGGATCATTAGTGTAA